AGTGTGACGTCACATTGTTTAGTCATTCTGATTTAAATGGGTTTGTTCGTTAAAAAATCGCTTAAAACTTGGTCTGAACTTTATTGTGGTGCCTACACAGTAAAAAGAATCAGCTTTATGACAGTCATGTTGCCTGGGGAAGGAGGTAATTTTGGGCTGTGACGTCACATATCATCCAATCTATAAAGTCGGCCACAATTTAACTGGTTTTAACAACATTTTAGAAGGTGGGATAGTTCCTTTAAGCTAAGTTTGCACACATCTGAACTTCAGCGTTTCTATTTTTGGAACATCAGCGTTTCCATTTTTGGAAACTAATCCTCCATAAATGGATACGATTCAGGAGCATTTTTAAGTGGTGAATTTGAATGCATCAGCTTTCCATGCAAGAAGACAAGTGCTTTTGGTGTACCTATCCGTGCTTGTTTTACGCAAAACGGTGGTTATACCTACATCAAATCCAGCCACCCTTGGCAAGAAAATTTGTGCGGAAATGTTAGCGTTTCTATTTATGGAACAAGCGTTTCCATTTTTGGAACAGAAGAGTAGTCAAAATTGGAAATGTTTCCAATAATAGAAATGTCTCCATAAATGAATCGGAGATACCACAGTGCGCCGGACTGTTATCAGCATTAATTGAGCTATTATGGGTGGCATATGTCGATATCACATAAGATACCAAAATGCAAATTACTCTGTAAGGAAGTATCCATAGCTCCATAGCAACCACCTAGCAACGTGAATCAAAGCTGTAAACAACTCGCGTTTTCTCAGATGCGCATTTTTCGGAGCATATAACCAGAATCTGTTATCCTCGGCGTCATAATGAATGTTGCAAAACAGAGTGACCATTTGACTATCAATAAGGACGATTTTTGCGAAATTCATGTTTCTTGCCTAACTACCTTTCGAAAAAGTTAACAGACGCTAAACAAGTTAGTCGAGCCAGAGCCGACGAAGATTGTCGAGCGTGGCAGGGCAGCGTCAAACTCACCGTGTCTGTTCTTCCCGAGTCTTCAAAATCTTCTAGCGAAACCAAGCACAGAAAACTCACAAGTTTCAATGAAATTACTTCTCTCACAATTGACACCTCAATCAACAGCCGGATCCGTCAAGGGTCCCGACAAGATTCCTATAGATTCCTAAGGAAAAGGTTGGGCCAGGCAGTCACGTGACAGTTTCTGCTTGGTGTTTGAGTTGCGCCATCGTGGTTTATTGATATCTTTAAACAATTTTAAGACAAAATGTAGCTGAATATGTTAACATATATTTAAAAAAAAATATTTAATAAACAGAAATAAGTAAAAAACAAAAGTTTTGGCCTAAGCGTAAATCTATTATTTATATAATACTCTTGACATTGCTTTGCATTGAAGATTCAGGCTAGAAAATTTTTCATACTCATTATAGGTATAATACAATTTATACAATACTCATTTCTATGCGAAGATTGCTCTAGCGTATGGCAAATAAAATGGGCATAGGTATAAATACGCATAAAAAATAAGTTAACATAAACTTGGGTATAACCACGGATCACATACTGCCCGGGCCTACAAGGTGTCACATAAGGTGATCCGTGGTATAACTAATGGTCAGAAGAGGGCAAGCAGCGCGCTTGGGATGAGGCGTTCTCTAAGACGTCTCAGCAGCGTCTGCTGGATGGGGCAAACCAGGTGGTCCGGGTGCGTCTTCTTGCTGCTGCAGAGCCCCACACCGCCGCCTGGGTGCAAGCCCTCCCAGTCACCAGTCTGGGACTCCACCTGGAGGACGAAACCGTCCGGGTAGCAGTGGCGCTGCGACTCGGGGCACCGGTATGTGAACCGCACAACTGCCAGCTCTGCCGTCGTCCTGCTGATCGACTGGGCTACCACGGTCTCTCCTGTGCCAAGAGTGCTGGCCGCCACGCACGTCACGCCAACCTTAATGACGTGCTGCGGCGGGCACTGAGCAGCACAGGGCTCGAGAGTGTTTTAGAGCCCACCGGCCTTGACAGAGGTGACGGCCGACGTCCCGATGGGATAACGCTCTTCCCTTTCAGCCGAGGAATGAGCCTGATATGGGACGCCACCTGCTGCGACACCTTCTCTGCAACTGCTGTCATCAGCTCTGCCTTGAGCCCTAGTAGCGCCGCTCGCTTTGCGGAAGAACGCAAGCGCGTCCGATATGCCGCTCTCCGTAAGAAATACGTTTTCGTACCTTTCGCGGTTGAGACACCTGGTGTCCTGGATCCAGCGGCCACACAGGGGGGGGGGGGGGTCGGATGCAACCCCCCCCCCAGGCTGTCGTGGGTACGGAAATAGCCCAGGCGGTGCCGGGTTAAACTAATAGTATTACCACAGGGAACACGACGCATTTATAGCCGAAACATTTGCTTTTTTTCTTAACCCTCGCCCGCACATGGGGGGGGTGGTTGCCACCCCCCCCCAGGTAGTCTTTCTGCTCTGCACTCAACATTTTTAGAGCTAGAATGCTGATTTTTCGTATAGCTGCTCCTCTATCCTTTCTTGAGGTCCACTGAAAATTTCAAGTTTCTGTGATTTTTGGTTTCGGAGATATGACCTTGTTTTTCAGGTCATGTCATGACCCAAATGGCCAATTCTCAACATCTTGCGCCTGCCATGGGCCTTGTGAGCTTTTGACACCCTGATTTCGGCCTTTTTTGCCAGTCTTACCTCCCACCTATCATGGAACATGTTGTTCGACGATGTACAGGGGTCAAGGTCAGGGTCAAGGTCAACCTAGGTCATCTAAGATAATTGCGTTTTAGGCAAGCTGAATTTACTTTTTGTGAAGTTTTTTGACTGCATTTTTGGTAAAAGCTTCTCAGATCATGATTTCATGTAATATGGACCCAAAAACAATCGGTGCACACATCAGTATACACACAGGCACACACAGACATACAAACACATATAATTGACCTTGACCTAACTTGACCTGAAATGACCTCAGCAGCAAAATTCTGGTCGGGTAGTGTGACAAAGAGGTTCTAGCTGGCTTGGCACCAGAAAACAGCATCGTCATCGGTATTTGATAAGCAGCGCACTTGATATCCAACGGTGACCCAAAACAGCAACATTTTTTAGTTTGACCTGACCTGGAAGGTCAATGACTGACCTGAGAAGGTAAAACTGGGTATCATTGGATTCGTCTCTTCCCAAAGAATCTTTTTGGTCTTTACCGCTAAGCTCTATCTCCAACAGGAACGAAATGGCGCGGGGGGGTGGCAACCACCCCCCCCATGTGCGTTCTAGGATGGGAAAATGGCATGTGCGGGCGAGGGTTAACCTTCGCCCCAGTGGGGGGGGGGGGGCATATGTTACCACCCTGTCGCGTTTTTTTCGTATAAATAAAAAACCGCGGCGCGTAGCGCCGCGCCGCTTGGGGTAGCTTTTGGTACATCAATTTTGGACAATGTGTGAAATTTTTGACCCCAGGTCATGTCAGGTCAGGTCACTAGGTCAAGTTAACTGACCAAGCCTAAAAAAAGTTCGCAATCATGTCCAGCCTGCAGTGTTTGTCAGAGAGGTTTCAAACTTGGTGGATTACATAATGTTATGGGTGCCTACAATTTGTATATCTCGGATTTTTTATATGCGTGACCTAAGGTCAGGTCAGTGGCGTGACCTTTCCATTATAAGTCAATGGAGAAAAACGAAAATGCCTCTAGATCCGTGTGTACGCATAGGAACAGTCCAAATATTTCAGGATAACAAGGATTTGGACCACCCGTGACGACCAAGGTGTCTTTTTTGCTGATAGCCTCTTGAAAGGTCATCCGAGGTCATTTGAGGCTACAAACAGTTTTTTTGCCAATAACTCTCGATTGGAAAGAGATAGAACGCTGGGGTTGGCCTCATTGCGTTTGTCTTGCCGAGACGCATCGACTGATATGCAACATGACCTTTTCCGGTCAGGTCATGACCTTGACCTGAGGTCAAATTTTGAAGTTGACCTTTCAAGGTCAAATTATAGTTCATTCGACGCGTCTCGGCAAGAGGAACACGATTCTGGCATTAGAAATGACCTAGCTTTTTTTAGTCAAAAGTTATTGTCGAAAAACACTTCTTTAAAACAGCTATTTTTGGAGTTTTTGCCCTCTGGAGGCTAAACGGTTGATCTGAGGTCATTTTTGATGATGACCTAATCAAAAGAAGAGTTCAAAAGCTATCGAATGCTTTTCCCAGCGTTTTTCTAGCTATCATAGTTCCTGAGATAATGGCATGTTTTCTGAAAAATATAATGACAATTCGCAAATTTTGACCTTTGATGACCTCTGGTGACCCCAATATTGCTCTAAGGTGAAAAATGACCGAAATACTTTCAAACGTACGCATCAAGAGCTATCGACTGCTTTTTACCGTGTCTTTCTAGCCCTCTTAGTTTTTGAGTTAGAGGTGGGTGGTAACATATGCCCCCCCCCCCCCCACTAGGGCGAAGTTGGCGGAGACCGCCACTGGGGCGCGGGTTAAATAAGATTGAAAAACTGCGAGTACTGGCTTTTCGCCTAGCAGTTGGGCGTGAGGTGAGTGACGATAAAAATTATTTCGCTCTCCCTTGCTCCTGCACCTGCGGAAAGTGGATGGATGGGCATTGGCTACGTACTGGAAGGGTGTGATAAGGGCAATAAACCACTTCATGCTCCGATAATTGCATTACGTCTATGACGGTGTAAAGTAAAGAATAAAGATGTGTGAAGAAATAGACATCTGACAATTGGCTGACTTCCCTGCCTCCCGGCCGCTACTCAGCTCCACCACTCGCCGTTGTCAGTGCACGGTTTTTCTAGCAAGCTCCAGCCTAGTATTGATCTTATTCAGTATTTACGGTACGAAGATTTGATAACGGAATGTGACGTTTCCACATCATGCTTGATGGTTGAACAAGCATGACGTTTCCACATCATGCTTGATGGTTGAAGTTTGCAACGTTAACAACTACCAAGTCAAGTCGCAGCCCCAGTCATCTGGCACGTCTCTGTCATCGAATAAAGCCAATGAACAAGAAAGTTATTATTTTCCAGCATAAATGAAAATATATAACACTGCTACAGGCGGTACGCGGATGTCATGCACATTACACACAACGATTCAATCGAATAAAAACTGGATTAACCATAAATAATAACAGTACAGCACTGGATTAACCATAAGTAATAACAGTACAGCACCAAACACTTGAGATGCACATTATAGTACTTTAGAATTTAGATGCACCGAGGAGTAATGAGACAAAAGTTGTAGCACGCCCTATCTTAAAAAATATTGAACGAGATATTTCCACAGTGCAAAAACAAAACCGAAATCCGACAAAAAACCGATTCCAGGTTCAATGTCCACAGATTTGAAAACAAAACTTTCAAGTGCCCCCATGGTAAAAAAAATGACCAAAGACGGAATTGTAACAAAGAATAAATAAAGATATGTGCGGCAAACGAAGGGCGGCACTGGACGAGCGTCTGCCCAAAGTAGGCGCCCAGAGTTACTCCTTAGCCCAGCGGGCAGCAGCAAATGAATTACAACCAAAGGAAGAATATGCATTAGTCTATTAAGGCTCATCGCACCATGACGAGGCACAGCTCGGATAACGCGATTCGCCTGCGTCCTCCAGGCGAGAAGCACCTCGAGTAGGCTGCCGTGTCTTGACCAACTGCCGCATCCGTCGTCCGCGCCGCAGGCCTCCCAGCGGCCATGTTCCAACGGAGCCGTGAGCTTCACCGTCTCCCGCTCCGCCTCTACAAGGTGGATGGAGGCCTGGCCGGACGGGTGGCACAAGGACATCTGGAGCTCCTGCTGCCGGGCCCGGCGGAAGGAGTAGATCGCCGCTCCGCGGTCGACATCCACCAGCTCCGAGCCGGCCACCAGTCCAGCTCGGAGTAGTGCCTCCATCGCATCGGCCGTCGACCGGCGTGGGGCCCGGATGTGACTAGTGCAGCTCCGTGGGGTGCCCTGCCGCGCTCTGCCGAGTGTGCAGAGAGCAGGTAGGTAGACTGGTGGCGGTGAAGAAAACAAGCAGTTATCTTCTTTCGGGATCTGTAAAGAAGCATTCCATTAAAAACTACATCCAAAACGCTTTCCATATTTTTTACAGAACACAATGCAGTAGCCAAAATAGATATGAAGTATGTGAAGACAACAGTCTACTGCCATTAGATAACTGATCCTGATGGACAAATACTTTAGATACTAGTATATCATAAGGTGGTTCAAAGACACACTTTGCAGCTCCAGTAAAAAATCACTGTTTTTCATACTTCATACTGTAAGGGGAAAGGGTGGGGTGGGGATGCAGCCAAGAGTGCATCATATAGGGTTGTAGTGGTCGGACCATCTGGAGCAATAGCCTGTTTTTGCCGTTTTTAATGTTAACCCTATGGCGCACATGAGCACGCGCCACGGGCGCACCCCCGGCCGAATCGTGCCCAAAATCTAATACGACCTGTTGAATTACATGACCCACGAGTCGTGAAAATTTCACCCTCGTGCGTCAATCGACGGCGCCGCAATATCCGTTTTTGGGCGTCACGCCGCCGCAGCCTGTTTTTGCCGATTCTAATGCTAACCCTATGGCGCACATGAGCACACGTCACGGGCGCACCCCCGGCCGAATCGTGCCCAAAATTTAATACGACAAATGAGTGCACGCGCTCGACTTGGCGTGAAACTTTCACCCCCGTAGCCCTTACCGTTTCCGAGCAATAGCCTGTTTTTGCCGATTCTAATGCTAACCCTATGGCGCACATGAGCACGCGCCAAGGGCGCACCTCCGGCCGCATCTTGCCTCAAATTTAATACGACCTGTTGAATGACGCGACCCACGAGCCGTGAAAATTTCACCCTCGTGCATCAATCGACGGCGCCGCATTAAGCCTTTTTAAGCGTCGTAACCCCGACGGCGGCGGACTTTTTAAGATCTACTAGAGGTACAGGTTTACGCGATAACTGTATGTTTTGATTTATGTTATGTTACGGGTGCATTAGTTTTGGGTGATTGACTTGTATTTTTAGCTATATTATTTGGGTAGATTTGGGTAGCTGTTTTTAAAACTGTAAGGGATGGTGATAGTTGCGGGGTGTTCAAGTGTTTTGTATGTTGGGCCCTTTTTGAACTCAACCCTACCCCTACCCTACCCCACCCTACCCCTACCCTATCCTACCCTACTACCCTACCCTACCCTACCCTACTACCCTACGCTACCCTACTATATCCTAACCTACCCTACTACCCTAACCTACCCTACTACCCTACCTAACTCTACCCTACCCTACCCTACCCTACCCTACCCCACCCTACCCTACCCTACCCTACCCTTACACTACCCTACCCTACCCTAACCTTACCCTACCCTACCCTACCCTACCCTACCCTACCCTACCCCTACCCCTACACTACACTACACTACCCTACCCTACCCTACCCTACCCTACCCTACCCTACCCTACCCTACACTACACTACCCTACCCTACCCTACCCTACCCTACCCTACCCTACTACCCTACCCTACCCTACCCTACCCTACCCTACCCTACCCTACCCTACCCTACCCTACCCTACCCTACCCTACCCTACCCTACCCTACCCTACCCTACCCTACCCTACACTGCCACCGACAGTCCAAGTTTCAGCTAAATCGGCCCAGAAACGGCTGAGATATTGCAAAAACAAATTAATTGTATTTACTGGCGAATCCCCTTGGCGAGCGGTGCCTTGTGTCGGCCTTCGTTGTCAAAGGTCAACGACCTCCCGGCTCTGATGCTTTTGACTCAGTTTTTAAGCGAACAACTGAGCCTAAAGCACGTGCCCTCTGCTCGGCGCCGGTCGCGGCCCCACCACGTGCACACCGCTGAACCCACACCCTCGAAAATTTAATACGACAAATGAATGCACGGGCTCGACTTGGCGGGAAAATTTCACCTCCGTAGCCCTAACCGTTCCCGAGCAATAGCCTGTTTTTGCCGATTCTAATGCTAACCCTATGGCGCACATGAGCACGCGCCACGGGCGCACCCCCGGCCGCATCGTGCCCAAAATTTAATACGACCTGTTTTATTACGTGACCCACAACTGGAAAAAATTTCACCCTCCTGCGTCAATCGACGGCGCCGCAATAAGCCTTTTAGGGAGTAACCCCGACGGCGTGGGCGGCGGACTTTTTAGGATTTATAATATAGATATTATGAATTATAAGTCGTCCGTGCGTGCGTTCTCCATCCATCCATCCGTTTGTCATGTCTTATGTGTCCTATTGCGCCGGAACGGTACCGTGTATCGGCGTGAAATTTGGCATGCCGAATCTGTGGGCGTGGGCGGCCTTTGTATTAAATGTGTCTTATTGCGCCTGAAAGACGCCGCGTATCGGCGTGAAATGTGCGCACGTGTAAGCTGTGTCCAATTGACTTGTGCATGGGACGCTATTCGCCGGTTTCTAGCGGTGTACCAAATTCATGAACATATCGGCCCAGTCAATTTCAAGATCTGGAAGCGACCCCTGCACGTGCGCACGTGCAGTTGCAATCCTATCGTGACACATGCAAATACACACTGACTTGTGCACGGCACCCTATGATCGGTCTCTAGAAGTGTGCCGAATTGGAGTGCAATCGGCCCAGCCGTTTCTGAGATCTGGAAGCGTCACCTTGCACGTGCGCACAGGCCAGGTGGGTTCTGACTGACTTGCGCACGGTACCCTCCTAACCAGTCTCTAGCGGTGTGCCAAATCTGAGTACAATCGGCCCGGCCGTTCTCGAGATCTGGAAGCGTCACCCCGCACGTGTGCACGTGCAGTTGCACCCCAACCGTGACACATTTAAACACATTGCCCGGTGGGTGCCTACATCCTTGTTATAATGTAGTTATTGTCATTATTACAATCAAGTTGTACCGTGCTATTGTCATTACAACAAAAGTGACACCTCTCTGTTTTACACGTGTCACGTGCAGTGGGGGTTACCCGCATGCATTGTCCATAGTAAAATACTTCTAAGAAGGGCATACACTACCCCACACAAAAAAACCGCAAGTGTAACGGTCCAGTGGCTGCGGAGATATAAGTCGTACAAAAACGTCCCTACAGCGGCCGGCCGCTAATATTTAGCATTAAATTCGTGTCTCATCCTTCTATGGGAGGTATCCCCGTCACCTGTTCGTATACTGTCTGAGCCAAGGCCATATATGGGTGTGAGCTCAAATCTCGGTAATGTGCTTTTATTCTAAATTTCTCGAAAACGGCACGGTGACTGGCCATGTCATGTCCGGCCGCCACCCAGCCTCCCGCCGCGCCTGGCCGGGCTGCTGCTTCGCCGGCCGGGTGGCGCGGGCGGCCCTCCTGGCTCCCAGTCCCGCCCGTCTGGGATGCGCTCCCCATCTGCAGGGCGTCGGCGGCGCCCAAGAGGCACAAGAATAACGGCGGTGTTGCGGGCGGCTTGTGGGGTTACGGTGCCGCGCTCCTTCCCCGGCCCCTCGCCGTCCGTCCCCCCTCCCCGGTGCCGTTCTCTTCCAGGGGAGGCGCCCCGGCCGCCGTGCTGGGGCGTAACGCAGTCCGTGCTTTTAGCACAGCAAAATATCCACCCAGGCTAGATTAAAGTCACGACAAACTAGGATTAAGAGTGGCTACAGAATTCAGACTTTATGCAGACTTAACATTGAGGTATTATATGTGCAACTAAATGACACACATGGTGTTTGTTCTAACCTTCTCAACAGAAAGTGGACGTATCAGGACAGCACCCCTTGGTGACCATTATACTCAAGGGGTGTATAGGAACTGATTCCCCAGGGGTGAAGCGATAGAAGCAAAAACATGAGTCACTCGTTCCCTCCTGTGTCTTCCCTCCAGCAGCAAACAAATATATGCGTGATGCCCAATGTGACTGATAACTGCATATTATAAAGCTGGAAATATTGTACAAAGTTGTGACAACACAAGCAAACTATGCATGTCACTGCTCTTGTTATTGCTATATGAGACCCCACAAGACACAAAAATATGCATGGTAAAAAAAGGGGGCAACAATACATTTCAAATGTAGCTTGTCAAAAAAATGATCATGAATTTCACTACATCAAAAGTGAATGAAATTAAGTGATAATCAAAGACTCTGGAAAAGAAGATCAGCATAACTACATATGTCTTGTTTCCAAAGCTAAAGTATGATCCTCAATGTTGCAAAAGTTGATTGGCTTTTACAATAATGAACAATACAATAACTTTGAATAAAAAACAACATATGGTAAACACACTTCAAGGAAATCCCAAGATCCATCCAAAATTTGACATGCCTGTTTGGAATGCTGTTAAACATGCTATGATCTTCACAGAATAGGTAAAATCAACTCAAAATATTATCTTCTTTATTACAAATAAAATCTTCCCATGAAATTCATTATTGTCACTGCAGAGCTCATTCAGTCAATTAGAGACTGTGCAGAGACTTCATTTTTCAAACAATCAGAGAATCAATGTGCAGAGACTAACACTTTACAATCTAGTGACTTATCACAAACATCTTTTGTGCTACAAGCTTATGCTTACTCAACATCTTTTCATGACTCAAATATGGTGGTGTTCATTTAAAGTGAAAACACTCATCCAGCACTAAGCAGATTATTTCTAAGCTCGTTTAAGTCCCAATTTCTGCTATATTTCGCTTGGAGTCACTTCATAGTTTGAACTCAAGGTGCCTTGTGGATTTACCTCAGGCATGTAGGTAAATCCACAAGGATTTATGGGCTTTACCTCAGTTATGCAGCTGCTCCCTCAATTTAAGTTTCTCGTTAAATTTCATTGAGGCGTTGCAAGATGGGCTGTAGCCGAATTCTCTTCCCTGTTTAGCTGATGCTCATAATACCTGAATATTTCTAATTCCAATTTTTATAGCTGTTAACAATTGCTAAAGGCCCATGTACCTAGACAATAATGACTTTACAGAGGAAACCCCTGGCTGTGTTTCATGGGCGCGCTGCCAGCAGCTGCCAGCGCATTCCGTGGAGCTAGCGTCAACCTCTGGTAGTGTTGGAGGTATAGGCTTGTTGATGTCTATGGAAGCCAAAAGTGGCTGGCAGAGTGCCGCGTTAAACCACCCTTATTTTTTGCACAATAATGCTGTGATAACTGTTCATGCAAAAAATATAAGGTGAAGTGAAGTAAAATCAGGTCAAACATTTATATATAGGTACCCAAAAGTAGCAGTGTATGGAGTACCTACCTATATTCACATTACCATTCCAATGATATGATGCACAACAGGCCATAGAAAAACCAGTGAATGTTGAATTGTACCCCAATTTCAATATCAATATGGCACTTGGCAATAACAGTAAAACACACCGTTTTTTTATGTTAAATCAACAGAGAACACTCCTGAACCTAAAAAATGATCAGAATGTATAATAAGGATAACAGTATAAATAAAAATCGACGACATCAGCACCTATCACCGCCGTTCCACATTCACCACTCCCCATTCCACGCACAGATTGTTTACCCCTTGGTTTACCCCGTGTTCGCAGTCTCCCTGACGACGGAGATTCTTTACGCCCACCGACCAATCACGTTCAAGATCAGCGTGGCTTGGCCGCAGTTCTCGAACGCCATTGGCCAGATTAAGCAGGACCTTCGTCGTCAGGAAAACTGTGAACACGGTGTTACATATTTCGCCATGGTAACAAAAGCGCCAGAATTGACTACCAGAATTGGATCCGAAGGTCAAATGGGTCACGTGACTGTCAAGTTCGGATGGACAACACCTGGAAAACGGCACAACGTACAATAACGCTCTATATATCATTGGAAAGAGCATCAAAAATTGTATATCCTATCAACTTTTCACTTGAATATGTCTTCAAGGTACAAAGTTATTAAGCACCAAAGACGCTCCCATTGACTTTCCATGTTAAAATTTTTCATTTTTAAAGAAGCCTAAAGACAACAAACGAATTTGCACAGCTTAAAGAAGCATAACAACATGTTCTATGGTCTTTTCTCAACAAGTCCTGAAAGTTAAAGCAAAATCGTATCATATAATTTTGTACAATGAGCGAATGAAAATGTCTCTGCAAAAACGCCCATTGACTTAACATGGGGAGCGAAAAAAGTTCAACTTTGACCTCGTGCAAAGACACGTTACGAAGTTCTGAGGGGTATACGGCGCACACTAGCGTGTACCCAAACGTGTTTGCCATAAAATGCTGGGAAGAAAACCACCTCTTCCTTGGCTCGTTTTCCCGCCATTGGCGATCGCGCAAAAAGTGTCCAAAACCCCGTTGACTTAACATGGGGAAAATGCAATGGCACGTGCCACGTGCCACGAGGTTTTAAGCGAGTAGCGACCGGTGCCATCAGGTAGATCGCCCCCGGGAGCCCATACCCTGAAATTTTTACGAAGATTGAGCGATTCGTCTAGGCTGGAATCAAGATGTCTCGATTCGCGGCCAGACTTGCAAAACATAGCCCGGAGACGGACCGCTCCGGTTGTTTTTCAATAGAAAAACACAATTCTAACGAATAGTGTTTGTCTTTTCAAACAACCTGCGGTTAACAAACGACAACCCTGCCATCTGTAAAGGACTATGAATTTCGCTGACGCTTCACGTGCTATGAATCAATTGCAGCAGACGGTCAAGTAAATGTTAGGTTCTTGCTGACTCTTGTATATAGGACCAAGAGGACCATCACTCCTCAACCTACTACTCACACGTGCTTCGAACAAACGTTAACCCGCGCCGGGCCGGTGCTCTGAGATTCCGCGCCGGGCCGGGGGGGGGGGTGTCTGAACACCCCCCCTTCTAACTCGGCTCCTGGGCCACGTAGCGACACGCGGTAAGCGGCAATCGAAAGAACGTCCAAAATAAGGACGAAAACACTTCAGTCATTTTTTGGGTCAGGTCAAAGGTCAGGTCACCAGAGGTCACCAAAGGTCAAATGTTCACTATTTCAACATTTTGGAAACTGCCAACGGCTATCTCGGGAACCGATAGAGCTACAGCGCCGCGGAAAAGCGCATTCGATAGCCCCTTTTACAGACCTTTCTGAGTAATGTTCTCAGATTTGACCTCAGGTCAACGGTTTAGCCTCCAGAGGGCAAAAACTCCAAAAATAGCCGTTTTTACGAAAAACGTTTTTTCGGCAATAACTTTTGACTCAAAAGAGCCATGACATTACTTTTGCCACCATCGTGTTCCTCTCGTCGAGACGCGTCGAATGAACTATAATTTGACCTTGAAAGGTCAACTTGAAAATTTGACCTCAGGTCAAGGTCATGACCTGACCGGAAAAGGTCATGTTGCATATCAGTCGATCCGCAACGTCGAGCCGAACACATCTAAGGCGTTTTCAGCGCTCTAGCACGTCTCTATCAGAAGTTATTAGCGAAAAACTGTTAGATTCTGTTCGTGACCTGAGATGACCTCGGGGACATAACGAGGGGTCACAGTTGCCATTTCCCGGTTCAGTGTGTCCATTTTATCTACATCTCGATGTTTGAGAGTGTCTAGAATAGCGTTCGTGCAAAACAAACGCTTTTCAATTTTCTCCCATTGACTTATAATGGAGAGGTCGCAAAATTGACCTGACCTTAGGTCACCGATATCAAAATTCCGAGATATACATTTTATAGATAATGTTGCTCGTATCAATCGCTGAAAGTTTCAAGGCAATCGATCAATCGGTGTAGCTATGACGAGCATTCTTATTTTTTCTGAGGTGAGGTCACTTGGCGTGACCTGGTGACCTGACCTAAGGCGACCTTGGTCTGAAATTTTTACAACATGTGCGGAAAAGATGCACGAACAGGTGTGCCAAAAACGGCGGCGCTCCGCGCCGCCGTTTTTGAGATATCTGCGAAAAACCGCAGGGGGGGGTGTTCAAACACCCCCCCCCCGGCCCGGCGCGGGTTAACGATTCCTAACAAATACGATTTTCGATGTAGGATATCTGTTTGAAATACGAGCGAGCCTTATGATGTGAAGCGAAGGCAATTAAGTTATTATTGCGTTGTTCGATGGTTGCATAGCGATGTACAAATCGGCAGCTACTTGGAAACATCTGACATCCCATTATCGCATTATCTGCAACGCCATAGGCTTTAAATACAGGTAAATATTTCCTAACCTTATGTCAGTTATGTGCCATCTGCCCGTCATTTGCAGCTTAAAAAAAAATGAAGCAAATATCAGCGAACATATCAGCATTGTACAAGCAATGCGCATTGAGCATTTATGGCTCCTCAGTCATCATGTCGCTCTGATGTCGCTCTTTGGGCACTGTCAGCCAAGACGTTACGCACAACTCCGCCGGCTTTCGGCACCACTCGACCGTCCCTGCTCCCCGCCACAGCGAGAGTGACCGCGCGCCGGCCCGAAACCGCCGCAGGCCAAGACCACAGAGGCGGGGCTTAGCTGTGACGTCATAACGTATCACAGGCTGACTGGTGATAGCCTCTACACACCGGATGAAAATCTAGCTCGAAATTTAACATTACGAGTCAATGAGAAGTGCCTGAAATATTGAAATGCCGACAAAATATCTAAATTGTAAAAGTTTCGGCAGGTCTTGAAACGGCCATGTCCTGAGCCTGGTTGAAATTCTTCCACGCATTTAAAAATAATCGCGAAAAATTAGGGTCTCAAGGGGTCTGGCGTTAACAGTAGGTGGTGCTGTAGACCGCGCCCAAAGCCAGGGCCCCGGTAACGTGAGGTAGCCGAGTCGGGTCAGCGTGCGCTGACCCAAGCCGGGGCCGCGCGTCCTCCCGGTGTCATGTGATAGCCCGGGGCTGCCCGCGGGGATGCGGTAGACCGCGCCCAAAGCCGCGGCCCCGGCTTGGGTCAGCGCACGCTGCCCCGTCTCGGCTACCTCACGTTACCGGGGCCCTGGCTTTGGGCGCGGCTTCTGCTCATACTTTGTGGTGCGGTGGTGGTGCGTCGGGCCGTGCGCTCTGACTTCGGCCAAGAAAAATGCGTCAGCTGATCATTGTCATTTCTGCCACTTTCATGTGGTGAGATGGGGTCATAACTTAAGAGACGGCTGTTTCATATCAATTATTTTACATAAAATAATATTTCAAACCATAAATTAATGTTTGACAGCCAAATAAAAGAAACAATACCAATACAGGCTTACAGTTTAAGGCTCGACATTGTGTTGTCTACGATTAGACAGCTGATAACTCATTCCCGTACGTCGTAAATCTATAATGACCTTTGCTTATTGCCACATGTGCGCCGCATTCGCGATTGTTGCCGACGCCTGTTTGCAGGCCAGCCCACTACAGTTGTTATACATATCGAAAAACCGATAAACTTTTAGGCGAAAAAGGCACTATTCCAGGCCCATTTTTGATTTTTTTTGCGATATTAGGTAAAAACAGAAGCTTCTTATCCTAGGAAAAATAAAATGGGGAATCTTTCAAAGGTGGCACACTACCTTTAAAGAGGTCCATAACTGCCTCTGAGTGCCGCACACCACGCGACCGCCCCAAATAGACCCCGACCCGTCTCAACACCAGCCGCTGGAGGCCCTACACCGACTTCGGAAGGTGCCACGGTGCTCCAGAATAGGCCATAGGTATATTGATTTGAGTGGGTGATGCAACCTGATTCCGGAGGGTCCAACGCCAGGTCATTACCGCATCAGATCACGAAAACTCAAGCAAATAATCTACGAGGGGCGTTCAAAAAGTTCCGGGCCGAACAATGAAGGAGTTGGAATTTCGGCGTGCAAGGCAGTGTGTTAACCCGCGCCCTGCTGGGGGTCCTGGATTTCCACGCCCTGCTGGGGGGGGGGTGTTTGAACACCCCCCTTGTAACTCGGCTCCTGGGCCACGTAGCGATACGCGGAAGGCGGCGTTCGAAAGAGCGTAAAAAATAATGACGAAATCACCTCGGTCAATTTTTTGGTCAGGTCAAAGGTCAGGTCACCAGAGGTCATTGAAGGCAAAATTTCGCCGATTTCCAGGTCGAATGTCGAAAATTTCCAAGAAGCCAGCGCATAACTCGGGAACCAATAGAGCTACAGCGCCGCGGAAAAGCGCATTCGATAGCCCTATTAACGCCCTTTCTGAGTAATTCTCTCAGATTTGACCTAACGTCAACGGTTTTGCCTGCAGGGGGCAAAAACTGCAAAAATAGCCGATTTTTTCGAAAACAGTTTTTCTGCAATAACTTTTGACCCAAGCCTTGTACGAGCTTACTTTTACCGGCATCGTGTTCCTCTCGTCAAGACGCATCGAATGAACTATGACTTGACCTTGAAAGGTCAACTTGAAAATTTGACCTCAGGTCAAGGTCATGACCTGACCGGAAAGGGTCATGTTGCATATCAGTCGATCCGTATCGTCGAGCTGAACACATCTAAAGCGTTTTCATCGCTCTAGCATGCCTCTATCAAAAGTTATTTGCGAAAAACTGTTAGATACCATTCGTGACCTAAGATGACCTCAGGGCATAAACAAGGGTCACGGACACCATTTTCAAGTTCAGTATGTCTAAAACACTTGTAATTCGGTGTTTGGGAGTGTTTATAATGTCTTTCATCCAAAAGAGGCGCATTTCAATTTTCTCCCATTGACTTATAATGGGGAGGTCGCAAAATTGACCTGACCTTAGGTCATCGATATCAAAATTCTGAGATAAACATTTTGTACATGCTATTGCTCTTAGCAATCGCTGAAAGTTTCAAAGCAATCGGTAACTCGGTGCAGCTATGACAGACATTGAAAGTTTTTATGAGGTGAGGTCACTTCAGGTGACCTGGTGACCTGACCTTGAATGACCTTGGTCTGAAATTTTCACAACATGTGTAGAATTGATGTATGATAAGGTGTACCAAAAAGGGCGGCGCTCCGCGCCGCCGTTTTTGAGATATTCGCGAAAAACCACAAGGGGGGTGTTCAAACACCCCCCCAGCAGGGCGCGGGTTAAATGATGTGTTATTGGGAAGTATTTGTATTTATTTGCGTACGGTCTCCATGTGATGGCTTTTCAGACCGCGCATGTACGGATTTGTAAACACAAATACTACATTTAACATTGCCCATTACACATCATGAATGCATACATGCATAGTCATTAGTCACACACGGCTACCCGTTACGACTGGCGTTCCAGTGGGCCGTTGCACGGTAGTTGAAGAAACGCTTTGCGAGTTCCGTACGCACGCGGGGCAATTGTAGAAGGCCAGCTGAAGTAGAACGGGTACCTCTATCAGATACATCGTGCCGGTAAACAAGCGACTCTTGTAGGATCTGTGGTGCATGTTGGTGGCTCATCAGTCTGCTGATGAACGACATGTCTCTCTTGCTTATCAAATCGTCAATGGTGGACCAACCAAGCGATGCCAGGAGTGGTGAGACATGCTCTGACTTCCGGCTGCAGAAGATGATACGGGCACAATGATTAATCACACGCTGAATGCGACGCTTCTGGGTGATACCACATCCACCCCAGACGCTCAAACAGTATAAAATGTGCGGAAAAATAAGCGCCTCTATCAGAAATGTTTTAACTTCAGCTGATAGACCACGACAGAATTTTGATAGCCCATGAAGTGTTGCATAGCACCGTTTCACTACAAGAGAAACTTGCGCTTTCCATGATAAGTGTTCGTCAATGTCCAACCCTAGAATTCTTGCTGAAGTCCACTTACGTAGCCATTAAGTCTGCCCTGTTATTTATTCGGGTTGCTAATTAATCGTAACACAGTTTGCCATCGCGCATAGGATGGGTGACGCCCAGAGGAGAGCAGTGATTCGGTTCATAGTAGGTACTGCAGAAAAGGCAGGCGTTATTCACGAGGAGAAGTTGGTAACAACTGACAACACATGTGGAGGTTTGTCTTCCTTACAGCAGCGTCAAATAGTGGGGGCATCCTGCCCAATTTTGGTCAACAGATCATTGAAGGTGACCCCCCCCCCCCGCCCCAGTGGCCAGTCATCAACAGCATTGACTCAAGCATTGATAACATGAATCTATCATGTTATCTAACATGTTTATGACTCAAGAAAAGATGAAAAATGAGCACTTTTGGTGCAAATTACAAATGTATCTTGTCTGGAAGCACGCAGTGCAGAAGCGGAGGTAACTATCGGGTTCCTCAAAGCAATTCATGAGCGTCTTAGTATGTTTAAGATCTTTGCAAGATGTATCCCCCGTTTGCTGACTCTGCAGAGAAAAGGCAAGCTCGAAAGGAGGCTCAGCGCGAGTTTTTGGCCGCTTTATCGAAGATCTAGAAGATGTCATTGAACAACATGCTACCGTAAAGGAATTGTGGGCGTCACACATTGACCCAAGGGCGTGACCGAGTTGCGCAAATGGAAGCACACCGAGTAGCTGCCACCAAATGAATACAACGAGGTGAAATTAGTCGGCAAGGCGATAAAGTGGTTGCATTTTGGGATGATGACGGGGCCGGGGGCTCTGCTTGTCACTTTTCTTTTCTATAACAGGGGCGCACAATCGATGATGTGCGTCCATTCGATAGACATCGAGGAGAGGCTATAGGGAAGCTGACATTATTAAGAGTGCACCTGATCCACGACCGTCGACCAGTGACCACGCACCTGCGTACATACTTGCGCGAGGTGACGATCAGTGAAGCGGTGAGCTGTGGCTTCGAGTTGTTGCATCCACTTTTTCTCCGAACCTTGCACCCTCTGGTTGCCACCTCTTCCCCAACATAAGGAAATTAGCAGTGGCAACTTCACTGAAGCAGCCGTCTTGGACGTGCAGGATGGGTCCAACACCCACTTGATTATGGAGACCTTGAGGGCTCTCGCGAAACGCTGCGCAAAATGTGTTTGCCTTAACGCTGGTTATTTGGATAAATGAACTTTTTGAACTAATAAGTCGATGCTGTATCTCTCTGCTCCTTCATGGTCGGGCCCGTAACTTCTGAACGCCCCACGTACTGTCATTCTTTGATTTTGGCAAGCAGATCTTTCTAACTATCGTGGTGTTTCGAGACCTCGTTAGTTGTCAAACCCTTCAATTGGCGTGGGTCTTCAAAGCCATCCCGGCCCCGTAGCCGTCTTTTTTAGTCAGCCTGGGCCCTCAAAGCCGTTCCTGGCCCCTTTCAGCACAGCCGTCCTTTTAAGTCGGCGTGGGCCTCTTTCAGAATGGCGTGCACTCCTCCGACACTATTGCCTATATCTTTGCACATTTTGTGCATGGGGCTCGGTGAGGACCTAGACTTACAAAGTTTTTTTTTATAGATTTTGGTTTGGCTTGTCAATGGCCAGGGCGAAAAAAATAAGTGGCCGAAATCCGATGAGAAAGGCAGATTTGGGGAAACCCTACCTTGTAAGCCCCGTCACATAAAGCCGGCCGCCGCCTTTGGGCCCTACCAATCATTTTCGGAAAACGACACCCCTGCACCCACTGTTGGTTTACCACCTCCTAACCATTAATATATGAATAACTTCCCCCGCTGCTCACCATCCGTGACTAGTAGCGTAATCCGAGACCCCAGCTCCGTGGCCAGGTGACTGATGGTGTCGGCAGCCACCCCCTGGAGAGATACCGACAGACCACTCCCGTACCGTCCCGGCCACCTCGACTTCGTCACCTCCGGCCCTGTCGGACAGAGCTGTGTCAGCTGACTGCAGTCGGACGGAGCTGCTGCCGGTCGGGAGGCGGCTGACACTGTGGTGTCAAACCCTGACACAGACGACACTGACAAAGCCAGGGTCGATCGGCACTGTTGGACAGTAATTGAACACTGTGCACAATGCATGCGCTATGCTTATACATGCGTCAGTTTATTAATACAGTTCAGTGCATACAGGTAGGTAATACAGGTTCAGTGCATACAGGTCATACTCGTTTGAAAGAGTAAAAGTAGGTACAATACAGTGGCTAATGTTTGTGTAGCAGGTAGGTAGCATGGCACACATATGTCCGCTGAACGTTTATCACTGAAACTGTTACTTTATGTACTTATGTACTTACCATGTAAGTACCTACCACCATTCAGAAGTAATAGTACGTGTTTCCTCAACTATTTCTCACCGGCAACGTATAGCGTCCTCAGTGACGTCGGCAGCAGCCGCAGCCACCGCCCCGTTCCGAAGGACGGCACACTGACGGTCAGCTCCTCCAAGCGGGGAAGACTCTGCAGTAGCGCCGTCAGCTGGTCCTCGCCAAGGGCTGACGGAGCGTCGAACGTCGTCATGGTTACAAGGCCGAGCGCCTCCTCAAGCGTGTTGAATAGACTGGCGACCGATGGCTGGGGCTCCGTCTGTACTATGACGTCACTGACTGCCGATGGCTGGGGCTCCGTCTGTACTGTGACGTCACTAGTTGCCGATGGCTGGGGCTCCGTCTGTACCGTGACGTCATTGACTGCCGATGGTTGGGGCTCCGTCTGTACCGTGACGTCATGAAACGCTTTTGTAATTTTACTGGGAAGACAAGAAAAAGTACATAAATCAAAATGCAAAAGAAGTTCACAACTGTAGTTGGCTCCTTTGATGATCCGATATACATTTACATATCGTCGTCAGCAATAGGGGAAGTTGGGGCAATGCCGGAGTTGGGGCAAAGCCGAAATTCGAGATATTTCGAAAACCGCAAGACATGGATGCCACCTGTCAGTGATGCTCTGAAGCTTAAGTGACTACAATTATCGCATGTTTGTTACGAGTCGTCATTCGGAATGCTTCGGCTGTGAGGGCGCCAAGAGCGTTTTCAAGGTACGCGTTCCTTGTACTACATGCGCCTTTGAAGCTGCATTTCTTACTCATTATCCTACCGTTTGTCTGGCCAATTCAGTCAAGTAATCTTCAGCATGTCTTTGCATAAGTGTGCTGCCTATTTGAAATTTATACGGCACGTTGAAAAGTTATGGGCCTGCAAATGAAAGTATGGCTGGCTGGGGTAATGCCGAAAACGTGCAATTACGCACGTTAAAGCACGCTACGTGGACTTTACTGCTGTAGAATAGCAACGCGAATTTTTAGTCACACAAATTATACTTTCAACCGACACAACGGCCTGTTACCTATAAGGAATTATTTACCTGGCATTTTCTTATTATATCACACAATTATAAATTCCAGTGTGCACCAAGCGTCCTCAAGCTCTTAAAACGCGTGTCAGCTTTGATAAATTCTGGATAAAGTGTGAGATAAAGTGGCAAAACATCAATGTCGGCATTCCCCGTAGATCATTTCTCCCATTTTCGGCTTTCCCCGCAGTCCGGGGCAACGCCGAAAAAATCACTTCTTTGATATTTTTAGTTTGTGCGCTTAACGATATGCGAATTCATCAAATGCGCCTGGTATGTTTGAAAGGCAAAAGACTGGCCTCTCGAATGACGCCAACAAGAATAGCTTATGTTGTCTACCTTGCGTGCTACGGGCGTCAGAAAAAAAGTATTCGGCGTTCCCCCAACTTCCCCTAGCATGTTGTCAAATCTATTCGGTTGCATAAAATCGTTCAGAGTTGATTTCATACGAATCTGAACGATTTGATACGACCGATTATATTTTGTGACACGATTGTTGATGAAGACATGTAAATAAGTGCGGGATATGGTGCCCCGAACTGGCCAACTTTATGCAGGACATCTGTCGAAAACTTGAACAATATGATCGAGACTAGACAGCTGACTTTCAAGAGATGGTACGAATTCAAGGCATGTTTCTTTAATTGGGCGAAAATTACAATTACAAGCTACTCGACCTTCAAAGACCTACTGTTAACGCCAGACCCCTTGAGACCCTATTTTTTCGCGATTATGTTTAAATGCGTGGAAGAATTTCAACCAAGTTCAGGACATGGCCGTTTCAAAACCTACCGACACTTTTACAATTTATATATTTTATCGCCATTTCAATATTTCAGGCACTTCTCATTGACTCGTAATGTTAAATTTCGAGCAAGATTTTCACCCGGTGTGTAGAGGCTATCACCAGTCAGTCTGTGATACGTTATGACGTCACAGCTAAGCCCTGCCTCTGTGGTCTTGGCCTGCGGCGGTTTCGGGCCGGCGCGCGGTCACTCTCGCTGTGGCGGGGAGCAGGGACGGTCGAGCGGTGCCGAAAGCCGGCGGAGTTGTGCGATAACGTCTTGGCTGACAGTGCCCAAAGAACGACATGATGACTGAGGAGCCATAAATGCTCAATGCGCATTGCTTGTACAATACTGATATGTTCGCTGATATTTGTTTTATTTTTATAAGCTGCAAATGACGGGCAGATGGCATATAACTGACATAAGGTTAGGAAATATTCACCTGTATTTAACCCTCGCCGGCACAGGGGGGGGGGGGGGGTTGATGCAACCCCCCTAAGGTTTTTCGCGAATAATTCGCGTAAAAAGCAGCCGATCGCAACGAAACTTTCAGTACCCTCGCATTGATCAATTTTACACGTTTCCTGAAAATTTCATGACCCTGACCCCAATGACCTTTGACCTGTGACCTCTTTTCCGTGACCATGTTTGGCCGAAATCACGATTCGGCGTATGTCGGCTCGCATTAGCCGCGCGTTTGCAAGCTTTTCGTGGTTTCAAACGTTCAAATATGTGATTTGATGTTGCTCCCATACATTAGGGTTGGTGTCAAGGTCACCTGAAGGTCAGGTCAGGTCACTGACCTTTGGTGACCTCGGGTGACCTCGGTTCACTTTTTCGAGTTTTTCATGTTTCTAGGCTAGTTTTTTGGAGCTGAATTCGAATTTAGCAACCATTTGAACATTTACGAGTAGTTTTGGTGCCTTCGTAACATGTTACGAAGCTGTCAGAGGCGGTTGACTGACACGTATTACGAATACCCGTCACAACCCCTACCGGTTGACCTGACCTGACCCGACCTGGTCTAAATGCTTAAAAACATCATCTCTGATCAAAACTAACACGATATTCGTGATCAGAATCCCGGAAAACCACTTAGAAGCCACACTTTACGACTTTCTAACAGGTCCCGATTTTCCCGGTTTTCGGGTCATTGACCTGACCTGGAAGGTCACTCGATGACCTAGGACCTAAAAATTGGGTATCATCGGCTTCCTCTCGTGACGGGCAACACGTTAGTTTTTTTTCTGCGAAGCTCTAGCTCGATCAGGGGCCAAACGCGAGGGGGGTCGTACCAACCAACCCCCCCCCCCTTGTGCCGTCGAAGGACTCAAAATGGCCTGTGCCGGCGAGGGTTAAAGCCTATGGCGTTGCAGATAATGCGATAATGGGATGTCGAATGTCACCAAGTAGCTGCCGATTTGTACATCGCTATGCAACCATCGAACAACGCAATAATAAGTTAATTGCCTTCGCTTCACATCATAAGGCTCGCTCGTATTTCAAACAGATATCCTACATCGAAAATCGTATTTGTTAGGAATCGTTAACGTTTGTTCGAAGCACGTGTGAGTAGTGGGTTGAGGAGTGATGGTCATCTTGGTCCTATATTACAAGAGTCAACAAGAGCCTAACATTTACTTGACCGTCTGCTGCAATTGATTCATAGCACGTGAAGCGTCAGCGAAATTCATAGTCCTTTACAGACGGCAGGGGTGTCGTTTGTACAGAGGTCGCTGATGGGCACGGGTCAATGCTGCAGTCGTGGGCGGAGCCAAATGTCATATGGCGTATGAAAGCCTCTATCCAGGGTGGAAAAACAGTTAACCCGCGCGGGGCTGGGGTCTCCAGCCGAACGCGCGGGGCTGGGGGGGGGGTAAATTTTACCCCCCCCTGTTATCTCCCGAATTAATGGTCCGATTTGGAAAATTCAAACGCCAATCGAAAGCTCTCATCACGAACTACTAAAAACATGTACTTAATTTAAAGTTTGAGGTCAAGGTCAAGGTCAGGTCAAGGGTACAAATTGCAAGTTTCTACAGTATCGGCCTTGCACCGTAGTTGCCGAAGAATGGAGTCATGGACTGAGACTGATCGCCCAAAACGTGTTCTTAGGCTACCAAGACAATATTAGTTGCATACAATATCATTCAGAGGTCAAGGTCAAGGTCAGGTCAGGTCAGGTCAGGTCACCAAAAAACAAAATATAGAAAAGGGCATGTGCGACACATGTTTTATGGGTCATTTTACTCATAGAATTCAATAGGCACACTCAATAAGTGATATGGACCACCTCTGGATGAATTTCAGGTCGAGGTCAGGTCAAGGTCAGGTCAAGTGAGGTCACATTTTGAAGTTGGTTGTTAAGGCCTAAAAAGGTGTCTATCTGATGCAGTTTTTCACGGCGAATCGAATGGTGCTATTTTTGTTTCCGTACGAGGTCTAGAACTTCCAAAAAAGTCATTTTTCAAAAAAATTGTGTGTCGTGACGTCATAAAATTTTGAATAACTCCCACATTTTTGAACCGATTCTTCTAAAATTTGGTATGTAGGTGCACATAGACCACTTCTCTGAAATATATTCCGGTTTTTTCGATAGACTCAAAATTTTGGATTTTACAATGATTTTCCCAAAAAAAATCAGTTTTTTGAAAAAATTTAGGCCAAAATCCAAAATTTTCAAAAAACCGAGATAGCCATTTGATAGACAAAGTAAAATTACGTATAACCTTTTTTGTTACGTCTTGATTCCTTTAAAAATGAAGATGTTAGCGGCGTTTGAACTTGTGCCGTTTTTGAGGCGAAAATGGCGAACATGACGTCACTAAAACGTCAATTTCTCAAAAATTTTCCGACGGATTTCGCTCAAATTTTCAGGGAAGGTGTCAAATTGATGTAAGAAAAGGTACTGAAAGTTTGGCGGCGCTGCGCGCCGCCGTTTTTGAGATATCGCAAAAATTCGCGAGGGGGGGTAAAATTTACCCCCCCCCTTCAGCCCCGCGCGGGTTAACATTACGAGTCAATGACAAGTGCCACAAATATTTAAGTGACAACAAAATGTATTTGAAGACAAAAAAAAAATCGGCAGGTCTTGAAACAGCTCCTTCCTACCTAAATATGGTTGAAATTATTCCACGCATTTAAAAATAATCGCGAAAAATTAGGGCCTCAAGGGGTCTGGCGTTAACAGTAGTGGTGGTTTATTTCTTACACCTTCTACAAAGAACGTTTACTTTTCACCATGACAGCTCTCCGAAATATCTCAGCCCCCACAGCCACCCCTGCTGCCTCCCAGTCTCACCCCTGGGGACGGCCGGATGGCGCCGCTCGCCGGCGGACCTCCTGCCGCAGATCCTCCACCACGGTCTGGCGAGTGGTCCGCTCTTCGATAACTGCCTGCTCCAGGCGGACCATCGCACCGTGAAGTGCGGCGTACTCCCCCTTTAGCTTCTTCATATCTGAATTGTCCTTCGCCACTACCTCACTCAGAATGGTCACCTTTTCACGAAGGGGGACCACCACTTCCCGAAGGGCGGACATCTCTTCACGAAGGGCAGCCACCACTTTGCTCAGTGCGGCCACCTCCCGGCGAAGGGCGGCCAGGTCTTCACGCACATCTGTCATCTCCATCTGGAATGCAGAATTACAGTTTTTTACGTTTCTACTAATCATTTAAAGGTGATTTAGTACGTAGCGTTACGTCGTACGCATTACGACATGTCGTGCAGCGTAGTGTCTTATCATGTCACAAAACGACGTGTCATTACGTATTACGACATGTTTTGTCATGCAACCCGCATTGTTGCATAGCAGGCAGGCAAGCTTGGCAGGCAGGCAAACAGGTCTTAGGTAACCAATATCAAAATTTACTATCGTTACTACTTTTTCGCAAAAAAAAACGAGATAATAAAGACAAGTTTATCACTACGAATGTTTACCCCATGGCCAGGCCTTTTTCATAACGCGGACGGTGCAGGGGGAGGGTCTGATTGTACGACCCCTGGCGATTGGCTCCTGATGCACTTAGAAACACCAGATGTATACTTATAGGATGGATCGGATGTATAGGATACAGCCAGTCACACAGCAGGACTGACACAGTCACACAGCAGGACCTCGGCTAAGGAATTTCGACTGGGGGATGGGGGACAAACCAGACTCCAGAAATCAGAATGTCATATACCACCTAATAAACACCGTATAAGCGGACCTTTACACCATACCTAACATTCATACCATATACCGTAGGTAACGGTATACCAAAATTCTGCCTAATCAGTTAAGCATACGTAAACATGTCTAAACAAACTTCTATCAAAGGTTTGGAGGCCAGCGTAGGGCCCTCAGAAGCCGAAGTCGAGCCGTCGGAGGCTAGCATGGTCATTTAGAGTCCGCTTTGGGACCTTAAATAGCCAAATGTGGACGTGGGGCCCAAAGAAGCCAGTGCGTAGCCCTTTAGACCAGCGTGGGGCAATATAAGGGCAGCGTGGGTTCCTCTAAGACCAGCGGCGTGGGGTCTTCTAAGGCCAGATTGGGGCCCACTGGGAACAGCTCAGCTTGGGGCTATCTAAGGACAATGTAGGCCCTCTTAGGTTAACGTGGGGCCCTCTGTCCTCTGAAGTCTAAGGTTGGCGCTGGGCCCTCAGAGGCTGGCTTTGGGCCATCAGAGGCCACCTAGAGGGCCTCGACGGTCAGACTGTAGCCCTTATGCATTTTTAACCCACGAGCCGCTGAGGGGGGACATAGAGTTGCCCCCCTTTACGTTTTGCGGCATATCTCCGAAACCTGATAAGCTACGAACGTGAAACTCAAGGTAGCTTCAAATGAATACCAAGGCAATGTTTGAGCAAAATTTGGTGGTTGTAGCACTTAAGATGACGTCACAGTGACGTCATAAAATATTGTCGTTTTCCTATACGGACCGTTTCTGATGTCGCTGAGCATGAAACTCAACTGTAAATGAACTAGACACTTAGACAGCACCTGCTGTCATCCTGAAACACCTAAATGCACTTCCATCTAGGTCCTGACCAATAATCGGCCCTTTATATACGGTCCCATATATCTGATATATCGTGAGGAAACTGGAGAGTCGCAAATCTATAATTTCACTTATGACGTCACTGTCAGCGGTGTAACTTTCTATATGTATGGGGGTGCAGGTGCACCCCCATCCCCTGAAAGTGCACCCCCATCACGTCAAAGTGCACCCCCATAGGCTAAGCGGCGCACCACACGCCGCCCGACACTGATAAGCTCTTGAGCAGATGGCGAGGGTGATTTCCCGGCTACATTCCGTCTCGTGACCGGCGTCGTGATGCTTGCGGGCTTGGGAAGCGTCCAGTCGTATCGTCCCCCAAAAATGGGTGAAAGGGGCACCCCGGCAAAAGCGGGACTTTCTCAGCAAAAGTGGAGCGCCCGAGGCAGAAGTAGGGCACCTCCAACGTAAGTTGGGATCGTCAAGCATAAGACTGGCGCCCCAGCGGAGGAGAGGCGCCCCCAGTAGGAATGAGGCACCTCAAGCATGGTTTCGCCCAGTAGAAGAACTTCCTCAGTAGAACACGGGCGACTCCAGCAGAAAGGGGCGTCTCACCAGAAGAGGGGTGCCCTAGCAGAAGAAGGACACCCCAGCAGAAAGGGGGCGCCCCACCAGAAGAGGGATGCTTCCAGAAGAAGAGAGGCACTCCAATATAAATGGGGCACCTCAAGCAAAAGTTGGGCTCGTCCAGCAGTAGTGGGGCGCCCCCAGAAGAAGGAGCGCTCCCAGCAGAAAGGGGCGCCACACCAGAAAGGGGCGCCCTACCGGGAGAGGGATGCCTAAAAAAGAGAGGCGCCCTAATACAAAAGGGGCACCTGGAGCAAAAGTTGGGCTCGTCCAGCAGCAGTGCGGCCGGGGGCGCCCCCAGCAGAGGTGGTGGGACGCCTTTAGCAAAAATAGGGCATAGCTTTTGACATTTGACATAGCATTTGACTTCACAGCCATTCTTCAAAACTACCCCCACTTCTTGCCGACCCCAAAATCTCATCGGATCTGCATCGATCTCAGGGGGTGCCCGGTTGAAGGTTGGGGGGGGAGCAAGCTGCGCCGCTTGCCCCCCCCCCCCGTGGCGACGCTAATGGTCTTGACACTAAAATTTCGTGTCAGCGTAGGTACTAGACGGACCTGGTCTCTGCGCGTGGACGGAGCGCTGCTCCCGAGAGGAGGTAAGGGGGTCGCTCCCAGCTCCACAACAGTGTTGAAAACCGAGTGTAAAATTCAGCTAACACCAGCCAAGACATGGATTGAATCAAAGTTATGATACGTTCGAGCCTGGAGTCAAAGTCCTGAAAATGTTGACGACTGTCACTCCGACTCTGGTTGGGACTCGCGACTCCAACCGATTTTGACTTTACAGCCATTCATGAAAACTACCCCCATTTTTTTGCCGACCCCAAAATCTCATCGGATCTGCATTGATCTCAGGGGGAGCCCGGTCGGGGGTGGGGGGGGGCAAGCTGCCCCGCTTGTCCCCCCGTGGCGACGCTGATGTATAATGTATGCACCATCTATGCACCTTGGAAGCGCCCCTATCCTCATTGAAGGTCGCCCCCATCACCAAGTGCACCCCCATCTCAAAAGCAAAAGTTACACCCCTGGTCACTGTGACGTCATTTCAGATGAAATCGACATTAAATTTGGACACAACCTCGGCTATGTATTCAGGAAGATATGTGCAAGGTTTCGCTTCTCTATCTCTTTGCGTTGCGACGATATCGTCGCAGAAGTAAAGGGGGGCAACTATATGCCCCCCAGCGGACGGCGGGTGGCGCGGAGGCCCAGCGGCCGCCGGGTACTTTAAACAAGGATTACACAACACTTTCATATTGTGGTCATCAGTGACCTGACCTCTGTTACCTGACCTGGTATCAGTGACCTCAAATAGCAAAATATGTGTTTCACGCGCAATTCTTGCGCCCATTCGGGGCGCGGGAATTGCAAAAAAACTGATCTTTTTGTTTTGCAAAACTAAAATGCAAACCAAAAAGATCAGTTTTTTATTTTGTTTTGCATTTTAGGGGATTATTTCAAAAGTCACTTTTTTAACCCTCGCCCCGTTGGGGGGGGGGGCAATTTGGCCCCTCCCTGTGGTTTTTCCTGAATAGCAAGAAAACGGCGGCGCGCAGCGCCGCCAAATTGTCAGTACCTTCCAGGGCATCAATTTGACACCTTCACACCAAATTTCAAGTCTAAGGTCACCTCAGGTAAGGAGTTATTGAGGTCAAACTGAGGTCGTGTTCGAGCAAAAATGAGCAAAAAACATGCAATCTTGAAACGCTCACCAAATCTACAGTTACAAAGTAATTTCAAACTTCTTTATATGGTCTAGTCGACAAAAAGCGGCGCTACAAAACTGTTTTCTGGGATTTTTAAAATTTTGGGTTTTTGACCCAAAGAATTAAAAAAAAAATGATTTTTTTCCAAAACTTAACCCTCGCGGGCCCGGGGGGGGGGGCGTTTTTCGCCCCCCCTGGCGAATATTTGCGATAACTCCCGAACGCTTAGGGATAGGAAGGCGAAACTTTCAGTACCTTTTCTCCCATCAATTTGACATCTTCTGAAGTAAAAAATTTGGACCTAGCCCCCTTGATGACGTCACAAGGTCCATTTTTCTAGACCCCTGCACGGCAAAAATCGGCGTCACAGACGCAAACTTCAAATAGCTGCTAAAAATGGAGTTTTAGAGATAAAGACAAATTACGAGCACGGCTGTGTAGCTTTTGACCCAGAGAAAAATAGAAAAATAGTTTTGGTGACCTGAGGTCAGAGGTCAGGTCAACGACCCCGAAATGTGGTTTTAGTTTTTCGCAAATAACTTCGACAAAAATGGTCCTAGAGCTACGGCAGTGGTACCATCGCATTCGCCTTGTCAAGCCGCGTCGAATGATATATATTTTGTTCGGAAAAGGTCAAGTTTCATGTTAACCTCATGTGACCTCGAATGACCTCTGGTTGACCTTGACACATGAAAGGTCGTTTATGATGGATTTGTACCCGCTGATCACGAATCTGGCATCTATTTTCCTCTAAGCCTTCATTTAGAGCTTCCGGATGGCAAAATTGTCTTATTTATTATTACTAACTTGAATCAGTGAAATAGCCTCTAGCAGGGATACTCTTCTGTGACCTTGACCTTTGAGCAGCCTTGTATCGTAAGATGAACCACAAATAGGGAACTGATAAGCCTCAAAACATTTCAAAACATCTTGGAAGTTGGCACGCAAGATGTGCGAAAAAGTGCCAAGTTTGAGGTCAATTTTGAGCGTGACCTTGACCTTGACCTTTGATTTGGAGCACATTTTCAGAATCCTCAGATTCTCTTCTTTCGTTTGACACCCAATTTTGCCGGTTTGATGCAGCCTGCCGTCCTCTAGAAGGCTTACTTTGAGATCACTACACATGTGCCGGTTTCGGCCTTTGACCTTGACCTCTGACCTTGAAAATTGACCTGAGGTCAAAAATTTTAGGTGCATTAGAATCGTCTCGTAAGGACCTTTCGTTTGGTATCGCTTTTGTTTCCGTAGCTCCCTTATTTACGGAGTTAGACAGGAGGGGCGAAAAACGCCCCCCCCCCCGGGCTGCGGTGGTTGGGATTACCCCCCGGGCCCGGCCGGGTTAAAAAATCAAAAAATTTTCCGAATTTCGAAAAAACGGAATATATGTGATAGTCCCAGCGCTCTTCTATATATATACCAAATTTCAGATCAATATCTCGTTTTTTGGCCAAGATATAGCGAAAAACTGTTCAAAAATGATGACGTCAGATTTTTTAACTCAATTTTTAGCGATTCTAGACCACGTAGGGCAAAACAAAGACCACCATTGAACTCCCCGTGACGAGCTGCATCAAATCAATACCCATTTTGTGCAAAAATATCAACTTTGAAATTTGACCTAATTTGACCTGACCTTGACCTGACCTTGACCAAAACGTGACCAAAGCTGGCCCAAAAGTCTGCCTGACCCACATAATCGCATTTGTCATGTAAAATGGACCATAAAACATGTATCACGCGACACTTTCATATTGTGACCCCCCCCCCCCCCGCCCCAGTGACCTGACCTCTGTGGCCTGACCTGGCATCAGTGACCTCAAATAGCAAAATATGTGTTTGAAGAACATTTCCCCATCGATGATTTTCAATGAAATGCATTTTACTCGATTTTACAACGCATTTCTTGAAATGCCTGTAAACGGTGAAAATTCGACCTTTGACCTGACCTGTGACATCATCGGTTTGACCTAGGTCAACAAAATTGGGTCATAAGGTAGTTCCCTGATAGGGCTATCCAACAACGGTTGCCGCTTGTCGCTAGGTTGCGTGGTTCTCGAGATCTTTGGGGGGCAAATTGCCCCCCCCCCCCCCTCCCAACGGGGTGCGTTGCTCGGCAGAGCCCAACGGGGCGCGGGTTAATTTGGGGTTCAAAATCAAAACAAATATATAACAAACAAGATAGCAGTTTTGTAGCGCTGCTCGTTTTATATCTTTTTGTTTTTCAACATTTTCCTTTATCTTTAAAACTTTGGGCTTGACAGCTCCTCCCATCCAACCTCTTTTGGGTCGGAAATGCCTGAACGTGACGTCACTCTGACGTCATTTGCGGCCCACCTATCATACACTGTGGAAGAAAAGGTAACGAGGTGTAAAACCGATTTACAAGAGGGTTCTGAAATTTTCGCGGCGATCGGCGCATTAATTTGGAGATAGTGCGAAACGACTGGAACGGGGGGGGGCATAAAACACCCCCAACCAGGGCGCGGGGTAAAAAGTTTCCACTGGGTCCTCTAAAGTAAAGGTAACCTCAGGATTGTGGATACGCCGCTGGATGTTCTCTACGATATTAGACTAAGAGCAGTGTAAACACCGGCGACAAAATATGAAAAGGAAATAGGATTGATTGACTTTCACATCGGGTTTGACAGCTTGGAGAATATTTATTTGAAGCGCATTATATTCACTCCGACAGGGTGGGCAAAATCTCTTCACTGCAGGGGCAACTGGCAGCCACTGCGGGACATTTGCCCCCTCCCCCAGTAGCGCGGAACACCTTCAATTAAGGTGTGGGGGGGGGGCATTGCCGACTTTTGGTCCCATTCTTTCCATGCAACGCCCATAGGGCTTATGTTAAAATGCCGAAATCAAGGGGACACGGTTCCCCGGTGCACCCCCCGTTCCGCCCCTTATGCCCTCTTCCCCGTTAATGCATGTAAGCACCCACATCCAAACACTCAGACGGGTACCTAGCACACAGAGAAGACACACAAAGAATCACAGAATCACATACAAACCGTTACATAAACACATGTAGTCTGACTATAGACACAGACGCACAAAACACACTCAGACAACAGACACAGGGACACACAGATCCCCCCCCCCACACACACACAGGTCGGCCCGGCTCACCTGATATTCGCCGCCTCCGCCGTGGTCGGCTCCGGTGGACAGAGCTCAGTACCGTCCACACACTGTTGGACCACCCGCTTTGTCGACTGACCCTCCTGGTGGACGCAGTGCAGCTTGTGTGGCTCCGGCTCCTCCGTCGGCCTTTGTCCCGGTCCCGGAACTGCGCCGGACATCAACACCGCGAGTCGGTGTGTCGGCAGAATCGATCGTGTTCAGTGAGTCGGCGGCGCGGTGTCCTGGCCTGATGACGTCAGTGGGGGGTCACCAGGGTTACAGGGACAACACGGACCGCCGGTCGATGTGCAGCAGCACCCTCCACCCCTCCCCTTCCCTTTCCCAGTACCCTGGACAACTCATGCAACTCGTCAAAACAAAGCATAGTGACGAGCAGACATGTGCAGGGATGGAAGAGGCGGGTCTATGATCTCAGTGGATATCTCGACAAAATGGAGGGTTCGGACCTACATCTCATCCCTCGCCCGGTCAGGGGTTGGGGAGGGGGAGATTGATCAACCCTCGCCCGCACATGGGGGGTGGTAACCACCCTCCACCCCCCCCCCCACCCCCACCCCCAGGTAGTCTTTCTGCTCTGCACTCAACATTGTTAGAGCTAGAAGTCTGATTTTTCGTATAGCTGCTCCTCTATCCTTTCTTGAAGTTTCTGTGGTTTTTGGTTTCGGAGATATGACCTTGTTTTTCAGGTCATGTCATGACCCATATGACCAATTCTCAACATCTTGCGTTGGCTATGGGCCTTGTGAGCTTTTAACACCTTGCTTTCGGCCTTTTTTGCCAGTCTTACCTCCCACCTGTCATGGAACATGTTGTTCGACGATGTACAGATGTCAAGGTCAGGGTCAAGGTCAGCCTAGGCCATCTAAAATAATTGTGTTTTAGGCAGGCTGAATTTACTTTTCGTGAAGTTTTTTGACTGCATTTTTGGTAAAAGCTTCTCACATCATGATTTCATGTAATATGGACACATAAACAATCGGTGCACACATCAGTATACACACAGACACACACAGACATACAAACACATATAATTGACCTTGACCTAACTTGACCTGAAACGACCTCAGCAGCAAAAATCTGGTCCGGTAGTGTGACAAAGAGGTTCTAGCTGGCTTAGCACCAGAAAACGGCATCGTTATCGGTATATGATTTGCAGCGCACTTGATATCCAACGGTGACCCAACGGTGACCCAACGGTGACAACGGTGACGAGCGTTAAGCGGGAGGGAGGGGGAATGAAAAGCTTTTATACATAGATAAGTAAAAGTCTATTCTTGAATGAAATGGAAACGGTTAACCCGCGAGTTGCTGGGGGCCATAGCGAAAAAACGGCGCGCCGCAGGCGCGCCAAATTTCGGGTACCTGTAGGGCATTAATTGAAGTGTATTGTGACGAAGTTTAAAAAAAAATCGGTCCGAAAATTTTTGAGATATCGAGGTTTTAGTGACGTCATGATTTCTGAGTTTTCGACCAAAAACGGCATATGTTCGAAAAATCATATAAAATCACAGAATAGACATACAGACATGCCGTAAACGCCATTAGACTACCAATACCATGAACAAGCAAATGGCTATCTTCGATTATTGATTATCGTTCCGCATTTTCCAAAATCTTGAACTGAATCTTGGCAATTTCTCGTGATTACTTCACGACCATGATACATGCATTTCCTAAATTGAACTTTTTTAGCCAAACACGTACACATATGATAAAATGAATGTCACCATCGTGTTCTACGCCCCAAATTACCCATAAAAACATGTGTCGCAGGCTGCGAATATCATTTTTGATTTTCGGGGATATTTGCCTACCCGGTTGACCTGACCTTGACCCTGACCTATGCTTGACTGACCCCTACATGGAGCTGACACTCTTGTAGGCCTTATATGATGGATTGTGCACCGTTTTGACAGAGTTTATGACGTGAGGCGCCCATTGCGAAGTCCTGAAGTCCATGCTACTGAAAACCCGATTTCAGGTGTTTGACCTGACCTTGACCCGACCTGTGACCTCAAAATTCAACTTTAAAGTACTCATCTGAAGCGTCTCGTCGCGTTCTTTCGTTTGCCGCCTCGTGCGTTTCGCTGCGCCTATTGGTTCTCGAGTTATCGGCTGGGGCGTTTAACGCCCCCCCCCCCCCCAGCAAACGGTGGGTGGCGAAATACCCCAGCAACTGCCGGGTTAAAATGCACAAAATACGGGGGTCACAAATGCGTTTCACTGAATCGTTCTCGTAGGGCCACGTGGGCCGCGTCGTACGTAAGGCCACGTCGGCCACGTCGTGCACCGGGAAGTCGCGCACCGGTGAAGTCCCGTCGAAGACTGTCGGGCCCCCGTCCCGTCTCAGCCCTCGTGGTAGCACAACACGTGGGCATGAGAACCAGAACAGGGGCCAGATGACACATATGTGCCCGGCGCGGCGCGGCGGACCGACCGCCGCGCTCCGAGTGCCGGCCGTCTTTGCGAAAATACCTAAAAATACCAACGTATTTGCTCGCTAGCACCTAGGTTTACCAATGTTGTACAAGAGGGACATTTTTATTGGTTCACCTAGTACCTACTACCTTCCCTTTAAATATCGTGTTTCTAGATGCCATATAAGTCATTCGCGAGGGGTCATACACCCGCCTCTTGGCCGCTCGCATTAGGAAAAACGCATTCTGACTAGTGGTGTCAATTACGGAAAATCGGAATACCGATACCAAACCAAATACCAACAAAAACCGTAGGGAAATACCGAAACCAAACAAACTTGGGAAAATGAGGGAAATACCAACTTAATACCGATTTCTTAGCCTCTCATTAGTGAGGGTTCATGATACCAACAAAAAACCAAACACATTACGATTGAAATACCAAATACCAAGTTGGTATCGGTTTGGTATCGGTATACCAAAAAGTTGGTATCCGATTGACATCTCTAAATCTGACACACCTAGAGAGTTATGTCAGACTTACAGCGAAGTGATAGGTACTGTGCATTGCAGGGACCGTGACATTTTACACCGAATCATGCCACCTTGCATATCAAAACAATGTATTTCAAAACGAACAAAAAAGTAGCTGTTCAAACTACCTATGTATCAATGTGGGACGTACCGGCTGTGGACGGCTGGAGACGTACCGGCTGGGGACGTACCGGCTGGGGACGGCTGGGGAGTGGGGACGTATTGGCTGGGGACAGCTGTGGACGGCTGGGGACGTACCGACTGGGGACGGCTGGGGATGGCTGGGGATGGCTGGGGACGTACCGGCTGGGGACGGTTGGGGACGTACCGACTGGGGACGCTGGGGACGTACCGGCTGGGGACGTACCGGCTGGGGACGTACCGGCTGGGGACGGCTGGGACGTCATATTTCCCGGGTGTCTCGGAGACCATCTCGTCCACGACATGTCATCCCGGCCCCACCCCGTGCCGTGCTGCCACCACGCCACCGAACGCCACTGACCAGCCCTAAGGTGTCGGCGGGTGTGCCTCTTTTCTACGGCCATTTTCCAGCGGCCGGCCGGAGCCAGTCGCGGGAGGCGCTGCTGATTGGTCCGTGTGTAACGCGCGAGCCGCAGAAGCGTCTGTTGATTGGTCTGTGCGTAGCGCGCGTGCCGCAGATTCTTCTGCTGATTGGTCTGCGCGTGCCGCAGTGGCGTCTGCTGATTGGCCAGCTGCCTGGGCTGCGCCGTCTTCTGGCCGCCTTGGCCGGGTCGCTCCACCTCCTGGTCAGTGGACGCGGCGCCGGCCGAGCGTAGCCGCAGGACCAGTGGCGGCCTCTGGTCCTATCTGTCCGTATAGTTCTGAGACACCAATCCGTTTTTTGTTAGCAAATCACACTACTTTGTTTGTAAGAATTACTGTTTACTACAGCAATAAAGAGTAATTTTCGCATCATTCACTTTCGCTGATGATAGGTAGTCGGGTAGAAAAGTTCATGAATTTATTACTTTTTATTTATATTCTCATAGCTATGCTCTTTGCGAGGACGATAAGAAGAATGCCTAACTAATAAATTGGCGTTCATGAAATGCATACGGCTGTTCAGTATTGAGATAGCACCAATAAAAATATTTGCACCATCTAGGTGGATAATTGTTATAATACGCAGGGGGTGCTTTTCCAGCACCTGGCGAGTGGCAGAGTCAAATCATTGCGCAGTAAAGCACATATAAGCACGCTTTTCGACAGCATCACTATTCTCGCGACTAACGCAAATCAGCTTGTGTCTCAGATGAAATGCAAGCAACTATTGGAGCATTATTACGTGGTAACTTTTGAATTTCAGGGGCGTGCTCGAGCACCCCCAAAGCCCCTATTTCTCCACCCCTGGTATGCACAGATATGGCATTTATTCATATGACTCTTCTAAGGAAAGGCGTATCTTTAGAGGCTGCATTTTATTGTTCTTGGGACCCATCCATATGAAAACAAATCGATTTTTACATGAGCATAGACGTTCTTCAAATTGCAGTGTCATACCACAACTGCGCTGTGTATCATTATGCCACAGGCAATACAGTGGGCATGTCAACTACGATCAGACGTACCGGTGAGTCCATGTACCGCTCGCTAAGCCTGTTGTATGTGAGTGAGTGGTCAGTACGGGGAGGCCGATGGCACGCCGCCGCCGGCCCGGCCTGACCAGTGGAGCGTCTGGCTATCGTCCAGCCGTGCACGGTGTGTTCCGTTTCCGGCGGGCTGAGTCCCTCGGCCGGGCCGGGCCGGCCGTGGCGCGTCTCGCTGTGGCCGCCTGTCCGATCGGCCGCGTCCCCCTCACCGCCCCCTCCGGCCGAGACGGGTCCGTCTGGCGAGACGTTCCGAGCCGTGTGTCCATGTGGAGTGAATGCACTGCTAGCCACTGCAGCTGTTTGGTGCCCGGCTGCCGGAATAGAGTGTCGGAGCGGCGGCAGAGGAGTGACGGCAGCTGTTTGTGGTGGATTCTGACGGAGCTGACCACCGGCACAATAAGACTGCAGCGGCACCAGCCACGGGGAGGGGGCTGCAGCTGGGAGTGTCACCGGACCGCTCTCCGTGCCGGCAGCTGACACTGACCGGGGGCCGGTCTGACACTGTCAG